GCGGAGGCGCGAAGGAGTTACCTGGGCCCGCGGCGCCCCGCCCTTTCTCCTGCCCGGCACGTGAGGGCGGAGAGCGGGAGGGGGCTGGGGCTCGCGAGCGGGAAAGCAGAGACCCCTTGCCCTCCCCCTTGCCCGGGCGGGGAAGCTGAAGGCGAGACCCCCGAGGGAGGGAGGGAAAGCGGACCCCGAGGGTCGGGGCTCCTCGCCACGCAGCCTGCGCCCGTGCTGAGGGGGCGCCGCGGGGCCAGGCGCGGGCGCCCTCCCGCAGCCTGGACTTGCTGGGCAGCCAAGGAGAGGTGCCCCGGCGCGGAGCAGGTCTTGCCTCGGCAGGTTCAGCCGAGGGGGACCCCGGGCCCTCTGGCCCGCTCTCGGGGGCTTTCTTGGCTTTTCCATTCTTCCCTAGACAACCCAAGGAGCCGGTTTCCCCCGTGGGGTTAGGGTTAGGGTCTCTGCTGCTGTGGGAGCTGGGCCCACGTGCTTTGGTGATGGTTTGACTAAACCACCAAGGGTGGAATTCAGAGTCCCGAAGTGCATGGAAACGTGGCATTAGGGAAAGCAGGTCATTTTAGAAATAAGCTGATGGAATGATCATGTACAAACCATGATAGCTGGATTGAGAGGAATCACACATTACTAGTATAGATGCTGATTTCTTTGAGGTGGCAATGGTTTGCAGGGAGCAGCCATCTACAGCACAGGCCTACAGGAGTCCTTTTGGAAGTGAACTCCCTCAGCTGGATTCACACGCTGAAGTATAAACTGTAACGGGTTGGGTTGTGGCTTGGTCTGTTGGGTGAGCCCTAACATTGACCAGTAATATGGGTGATGCCCTGGTACGTTGTGTGACTCTAGCCAACTATAGTTTATTTAAACTGCGTCGAAACCGAAACAAAGTTATGCAAATGAGGTCCCTGTTACCATTAGAGTAGGCTGAAGAGATGTGCTTCCAAAGGGAAGTGAGAGGAAAACAGACGAAAGGAGAAAACACAGGTGGTTTAAAGCGCCGGCCTTATGGCAAACGGTTGCAGTCTTGAACTTTGATTCAGACCACAAACACCTTGGATGGGCAAGAAATAGGTGCTCTTTCCAAAACGACTGGCTTCCAGAATAAAACAGGAGAACAAATGTATCTATTCAGCCTTGGCGGTTGAGAATTTGGGGAGTTGTAATCCCAGCATTTCTGGGAGGGACAGACAACTCTGCTGTGCCCTTCTGAACAAGTTCTCTAGGGTTAAAATTGTCCCAGGCTCTTGAGAAGATGAGAAATTACCCATTCAAATTGAACACACAAAAGTGGTTCACTGGGAGGAGCGGGATCCATCAGAAACCCCACAGCGCATTCAAGGAGAGTAAGTAACAAAGGTCTCTTGATAATGAAGATGGTCAAAAGCCAAGGCAATCAGAGTTGGCTTCTTGGGAGGGGTGCCAAGAAGACTGCTGTTCTAGGGCAGGGGCATTGCGTGGCTCTCCAGATGTTGCAGATCTGTGACTCCCCAAGCCAGTGTCACCAAAGGGGAAGGAGCCTGGGAGTTGTAGTCCCACAATTTGCAGGACACTACTGCTCCCTTTCAATCTAGGCAAACCCTGAACATTATTTAAAGATTTGGACCCCTAATAAACAGCATCAATAGGATGAGGAACAAACCCAAGGCCTATTTTAATCCAGCATTTTGTTTCTCTTAATGGCCAACCAGATGTCTCTGGGGAGCTTCCATCCCTCTCCTGCTGCTATTCCCCTGGAACCGGTACTTGGAGCCAAGCTGGAGGTAATGCTGAATCTCAGCCCTCAACAGACTTGTGTGAATTTATCTAACCCCCCTTTAAAGCCTTTTATATAAGAGGGCAATCTGCTGAAGACGTTCATTTCTTAGTTACCTTAACATTTTTGCTAGATGATGCAGTAAGATTGGTGAAGGTAGCCGTTTTCAACTCCAAGATGTAGTATTTACTCATACTAGCTGATAGGATTGTTAAATATAAGTATTTTGTTGCAACCTTTGATTTTAAGCAAATAAAGTAGTGCAAACTATGTATGCAATAGAGGTGAGGTTTCAGATTACTGGCCATATAAAATAGATTAAAATGATATGCATACTTATCATTACTTGTGTCTAAACTCAGCTAAACCACTGCTACCACAAAAGAGATATATAT